TCTATTGTCCTATGGGTAGAACTATAGTTTGTCCTTTACATTGTCTTTGTCTTCCAAATTCAATTACTGTCTTCCTTTGTTTTCTACTTCAGGGCTTAACAAAACTTTATTAGGCTTCTTTGAACTAAAGAATCCAACTCCTTCCTGCAAATATTATTTCCCATGTCCTTCCCTACTGCTTATGTATATCTTGCAGCCCTATTTAACAAAACAATATATCTACATTTCATACTGACCGACTCTAGAATTTAGGAGGTAGGCTAAGGTTATTGGAGGGAACTTGTAGTGATAAGGTCTTAAACAAATTCAGTTCTCAGTAATTACATGTAAATAATTCATTGATATAAATACACATAATAAGGAGCTGAAGATTCCCAGTCCACGTTTAGATTTACTAAACATGACAACCCAAAACAGATCCGCTCCCCTTATGTGAGTCAGTTAATCCTAAACTAGATCTAACCAAATTCTTTGCCTATAAGCGTGTGTCAGACTTCTTTCTCTGTAGGCAAAAGCATAAGAAACTTGGAAGACCACTTTAACCAAGTGATCAACCTTGACATCACCAGTAAGGAGATAAATAGATATGGCCGGCACCAAGGACACATCCTTTTTCTGGTATTCCTTGCCAAAAATGCATACACTAGACAACCTCAAATTGAGGGAAATTCTACAAAATTGCTAGCCTGTACTCTTCAAATTGCTAGCTTGAACCATTCCATATTTAAGGAAACTAAAGAAAAATGACAACTAAGTGCAATGTGCAATTCCAGACTGGAAAAAAATTGCTGTGAAGGACATTGTTCAGAAATTGATGTAATTTAAATGTGGATTGTGAAATAATAGTCCTGCATCAATGCTAAAATTCTTTTCTTTTTTGACGTAGTGTTCCATGATTCATTGTTTGCATATAACACCCAGTGCTCCATGCAGTACATGTAAAATTCTTAATTTGTAATTATTGTACTGTGGTTAAATAAGAGAATGTGCTTGTTCTTAGAATACTGAAGTATTTAGAGCAATGGGACATGACTACATAGATAGATGATAGATAGATAGATAGATAGATAGATAGATAGATAGATAGATAGATGATAGAGAGACAGATAGGAGGGAGAGAGAGAGAGAACCTCAATAGTGTGCAGTGTTGATGGAGGGAGAATAAAGCACAACTGGGGAAGCTCTGAATAATTAGTGAATCCAGCAAAGGATATACGATTTTTTGCAACTCTTCTGTAAGTTTGAAACTATCAAAATAAAAAATTACCCCAGGAAAAGGACAAAACACAAATCAGAACTGAAGTTCTAGTATATTCTTCCTTCACCCAATGGACTGCCTTGTGCACCTACTTTGAGGACCACTGAGCAAAACCAAGCATTGGAAAGAAAATGCCCAAAGGGGACAAAGGGGAGATAAGTTGGAATACTGCTATACATATACACGAGGTTCCTTTGGGCTCTTATTGATCTTTGAATTTTCCATGGTATTTAGAATTTAAAGGCTCTCAATAAATATTTGCTGAATGAATAATTAAAGAGTAAGATACCTCAGAGACAAATCACATGTATTTTTAAAGATGAGGAAATGGAAATGCAAAGTGCTTAACTTAATTGAAAAAGTCACCCAACTAATAAGAAAGAGCCAGAAATCAAGCCTATCTTTCTGATTAAATGTTTATGGCTCTTTGCCTCTAAGCATAGTTTAAGCAGTAAAGGTCAATAATTAGGTATTAGTAAAGTTCCTTATATAACTTTCCTAAAGAAATTGATAAGTAAAACTTAAAATTCAAATGAACTGTGTCACACAAATAATTCATATGGAAATAGAGCTTTGCTTTCAAATCATGGTCTGGAAATTGGCAGTACTAGGTATAACAATAGCTATTGTCCTGGTTCCATATCTGACCTCTCTTAAAACTCCTCAGGACATCTGTTATTAGTTTTGACTGGTAAGAAAAGATAAATCACAAAATCACAGATTTTACAGATAAAAGGAATGATCATGATGGTCTAGTGCAGTTTTCTTGTGTTGGAGAAAGTCAATAATAATTTCTTCCTTCCTGGAATGAAGAGGACTCAAATGATAGATTTCTAAATTAGTTTGATGTACCTGATAAGCAATTATACACATATTCAATGAATACTGTCAAAATGTGTGTTGTCTTCTGTCCAAGACCTATTTATATAGATGTGTTTATGTTCATCCATTAGCAATTCATAATTATACCTGGCACATCAAGCTATGGAGACAATTTTATAAATAGATGATCTGAGGATCAAATCAATATCTATAACTGGCTAAAATGCGGTCCTGCCTTTGAATCTGTGTTTATTATTTCTAGCATTCCCTTCAGTGTAATGTGATAAGGGGGTAGAAGACCATTATTACAGGAATCCTATTTCTGAAATCAAGAACCTATAATATAGTTTCCAACATGATGTATTTCACCAGTGAAAAGGCCGCGACCTTGGGTCCATCATAGATCATCTGCCATCCCCATCCTAAGCCATATGCCTGGAAAAGTTTTTATTTGCTACAACAAATGGGGGAAGGGAAAGTGCAAGTGAAGAGAACTTTGAAACTTTGTGGAAACTAATTCCAAAATTAAGGAGATTCCTTATGTTGCAGGAGGTTGGGACATGAATTCATCATTAGAACAAGTATTTCTGTTTCTGGAAAGACCACTACCATTATTCTTGGGACTTTCAAAGTTGACTAAGGCTTTTATTTGGAAAAGACAAAATCCTAGATGTTTTGGCCATAATGAACTAAAGGGTTTTGGATAATAATGTGATAAAATACAATCTCCATCATGGGGAGAAGTTTATTCTAAATAGTGATTTAGACTGTACTATCAGTGGTTCTTAAAAGATGTGTGTTCTAATACAAGCATTGATACACAGGAGAGAAGAAGCAGATGCCTAAAGATGGCACAAAAAGGATGTGAAAGTCTACCTTCATGTCATGTGGCTAGGGAAACAATCCGTGGTATTGAAATGGAATTGCAAAGCACAGTCTAGACTATGGTAATTGAAGCCCTATAAATGAATAATGCATGAGGAATAAATGTATTACATCATTTGGGAGCCAAAGGGCAACACTGCTTGCAGGAAGAAGTGAGATTTGCGCTAGAGTTTCTCTTGGCACAGTTAATCATTTGGGCCAGACATCTCTGCCATTGGAGGCTACCCTATTCACTGGCATCATAGAAGGTTTAGCAGCACCGTTGGCCTCCATTCACTAAACACCAGTAGCATCTTCCCCCACCGCCGATCATTACAACCAAAAATGTCTCCAGACATTGCCAATATCCGGGGGTTGAGGACTGAGGAATTGGCCCCGTTAAGAACCACTACTCCAAAGGAAATGGAGACTTCACTATTGATCACTCCACAAAAAGTTAATCCTGGAATAGGAATAGATGAAAGGCAAAATGTTTCCTCACTCTGCTCCCCCAAAGACTGGAGCCTCTTTTCTTAGCCAGGGAGACCTACTTAAAGGCACTCTCATTGAGAAGTGGTAAATATTCTGTCCCTTTTAATATGGTTCAAGGCAGAGATTAGATGGAGAGATACTGAGGAATGAGATTCCAGTTAGAAGTCTGAACAGCAGTTAAGTAGGTGGCATAAAAGGCCTAAATCATTATGACGGAGGCATGAACAGAAAGTGCAATCTCAAAGCCTGAAGAAGTTTGGAACATTGGGATTTCACACAAAGCTAAATCCTAAAATGAAAAAATGTCCTCAGCTATACCTCTGGAGCAAAGTAAAGAGCCAAGACAGTTCTTTGGTTCTATTCATCCACTCAAGTATTTCTTGAAATCCTAGTGCAAAGTAGGCACTTTCCTCGATGCCCGCTAGTGAAGTTGGTCTCAGGACGCATATCTCCACTGTTGGAAAATGAACGCGAGTCCTATACCCTACACAGAGGCATCTTACCCACATCAGGATGCCTTAGGGAAGAGGATAGGTCCCTTCCACCATATTACTGTTCACACTGCAAACACTTAGGGAGAAATACTCCATTTACTATTGCTTTACGACAATAAATTTCCTGATTTCTGGGGGCTGTGTAAATTTTTTTAAAGAATTTTTTAAATGATTGGAATAGAAAAATGAGGTTTGGTTTTCAATGTTTTCTGGCTGTGATACCATTTTTCAAGGAAAATCTCACCCTGAAGTGAAGCAAATAAAACCGACCAAATAGGACTTTCTCTGGTTG